AATCACAAACTTTTAGGAATACGTTATGAAAGCGTCGCCCATGTGACGACGGCGTGACCATGTTAGACGGAAGGCTGATCATTTTAAAAATTTTCAGTTATCTGTTCTGAATAAGACTTGTGTTTTATGTCCATCGTATTTGTCATATTGAACTGAATTGTATTTTGATGAATATTGTCTTGAAAAAGGTTTATTAAACCGAAACGTCAGACGTCGACATTTCTTTCATTTTAACTACATTTAAGGATTTTTGTTTGTTTTTTCAAAATTTCTTCATTCTGTCGGATTTATATCCATTTACACTTGCTTATATTATATTTTATATATATACATATTTTATAATTATTTTTTAAAAAATTAATAATTATAACCTAAGCTCTACTTCTGTATGGAGCACAAAAGAACTCTAGATTATTTACAAAACGTGTTCTTTTCCTATTTTTCTACATTTTTCATATACATACCTGCATATATATATATATATATATATATATATATATATATATATATATATATATAGCATAATGAGAAGCCACGTATACTTTCTTAATATGTATATATAGAAAAAGTTTCAAATTAAAAAATAGTAATGTTTTATTTTATGAAAGTATTTATTTATATATATTTGATATTTCAAATTGTCCTTAATTTTTCATCAGAAATAACTGTTACAAATAAATTAAAATTATTTGTAACAAACAGTTATTTCTGATGAAAAATTGAGGACAATTTGAAATAACAAATATATATATATAAATAAATAAATACTTTCATGAAATAAAACATTATTAATTTTTAATTTGAAACTTTATATATATATATATATATATATATATATAACTCCTTGTAATACCAAAGATGAAATGAAGGCAAGGATGATGGCAGCATTTACCAACTTAACGATATCTTCCAGAAGAGTTGCATGAGGTCCCGAATCGTCTGGAGGACGTGATTGAAGCCAAAATCGATTTTATTGAATAAATTTATTCTTTAGTATTTCAAGATAATGGTAAATTCAGGGTGTCCATAAAGTTCGTGTGCGCTTTAAAAAAATTATAACTTTATTTGTATTTTCGATAGAAATAACTTGTAAAAAGGATTAGAAAGAAGTAAATCTATGTTTTTTTTAAGGTTTTATTGAAATTTTATTTAAGTTTACACATGTCCTCCATCATTAGCAATACAAAGGGTAATATGATTTTGCAGTTCACGGAAAACATTTGCCAACTGATTTATAGTAATGCCTGAAATCACATTAGTTATTTTAGCTCTACTTAAAACTACGTACATTAAATTTTATAGCATTTTTTACAGATTATTTCTATCGGATATACAAATAAAGTTATAAATTTTTTAATGTGCACACAAACTTTATGGACACCCTGTATATCTCTTAAAATGAGATGTCAGTATTATTTAAATTTTTTCCGTAATTTAGACGACAGTTTATCCATCGCACACTGTATATCATGAGGGTCTCAGAGGACATATTGATGCATCGTTGCCTTTGACGAAAAACAAAAATGGCTGTTTCAGCTGTTGGCAGGCTACTGTATTGGCTTGGCTATATTTGACACCGTTAAACACCGGAAGTAGGATTTTTTAAACAAACGAAAATCTCCACTGTGTGCTAACGAAAGCGTAGGAGTCGACTTATTCTTAAAATGTCTGCCATAAGTGATGCTACTTTGTGATCAGCAGTTTAAGAAAGATTGAAATATTTTGTCAATTTTGAATCTTTTTATTTGTACCCTCTTAATTGTTTAAATAATGACGTGTATTCTGATGATTGTTATTGCAATATTTTATTAGAGTTGTTAAGGTCAAATACTTAACGATGCAATAGGGATATTTCCACGGATATGTTACAGCCGAAGAACTCGTAAGGATTTTATATAAGCATTAATTTAAGAATTAAGATTCATCATAAATAGAAAACCGTGACCTTTTCACGGGTACTGTTCCTTGTAATGATCCGGGTGGAGACAATATTCAGTTACATATATTATTTTTAATTTTATTAACGGAAATCATTGTGTTTTGAGCGAAAGAAACATTTTTTTGAACGTCATGTTCTTTCAGGATATAGTCGATCATGACTCCCAGAAATGTTTTGAAGACAGGAATGACTTCTTGGGAAAGATGGTGGCGTAGTTTCCAGTTTTCGTTTTCTTCGACTGGTTACCAACTAAAGTTATAAAGACCATTTAGTTTAGTCCACCATTCGTTCTTGCTTTGAATATTGCTGCCACATCTCGTCTGGTGGTCCTGGTAAATAATTTAGAGATTCTTGATAAAATCCATAGAAGAATCTATCTTACATATTTATAAGTCTACCATTCATCCTTGCTTTGAATATTGCTGCCATATCTGGTATGGTGCTCCTGCTATATCTTTAGTGATTCTTGATATAATCCAAAGAAGAATCTGCAATGTTATTGGTCCGGACGTGGCAGCTCGGTTTCAGTCCCTTTTCCACCGTCGTAACGTAATCTTTTCA